TCATTCAGAGAGAGAGCGTCCAGGGGAATGGGGCTGAGGGAGAGCTCATTCAGAGAGAGCTCACGGTGCAAATGGGCCAATTGTGTTGCAACACTCAGAACTGAATCTTGGAAACCAATTTTGTTTTTGTATTTGTAAACAACGGTTGTTAGCCACTTTGGTGAGACTCACTGAGTGCTAAAACGATGAGTAACAGGGCTGAATTTATTTTTTCCAAACTTGCTGTCCCTTATGAAATGAAAATTTCCCGATTTTCTCCCGAGTGTTGGGATGAGTCCAGTTGGCTCCCAACCACATGAATCCTGAATATAAATTAGAACAAGAACAAAACGAGCAGCTCACAGCTGCTGTTCAGTCTTGACAAATCACACATTGCTCAGCCACTGTGATATAAGGACAAGGCAGTATTTAAACCCTCAGAAAGTAAATGCCTTTGTTTCCAGAGATCAAATCCAAATGAAAAATTATCTTAATTCTGTGTTGAACCTTAGCTAGACCACACTCGTGCAGTTCTGGTCACCAGATTATAAAAAGGATATAGGGACTGGAGAAAGGCAGAGAATGCAAAAAGCAAGACTTTGGTTTAAAAAGAGATGAGGTCCTGAAAATAGAGTATAGGGAGTTAGGAAGTAAGTTAAAAATTAGGGTCTGTAAGGTAGTGATCTGTGGATTACTGCCAGTACCATGTGCTAGTCAGAGCAGAAATAGCAGGATATATGAAATGAATACGTGGCTGAAGAGATGGTGCGAGGAGTCAGGTTTCAGATTCCAGGGACATTGGACCCAGTTCTGGAGAGAACTGGGGCCAGTTCAAACTGGATGGTTCCATGGGGGAGGCTTTAAATTAAAATGAGAGGGGGATGGGAACTTTTACAGGGAGTCACAAGACAGGAAAGCAAGAGCAAAAACAAAAAACAGAATGGGACATATGAAAAATAATGGACAGAGAATTCAAGGGCAACAGTCAAACAAGGCCAGAAATAATACAAACAAGACAAAGAAAAGACAAGCTTAACTCCTGTGGCTTAATGTGTGGATCAGTTACAACAAAGTGGATGAATGAGTCACACGATCAGATCTGAACAGAAACGATATCATTGGGATTAGGTCAGAAGGTGACAAGGTCAGAAATCACACGACACCAGGTTATAGTCCAACAGGTTTATTAGAAATCACAAGCTTTCGTACCTCTGCCCCTTTGTCAGGTGGAGTGAAGAAAAGCACACAGGCACAGAATTTACGCGCAGAGAGATCAAGGGCAGAGAGATCAAAAGATCATACAAAAATCATACAAATAGAGTGAGTGAACCATCAAATAACCAGTCTCTGCAGGTGATCAAAAGGGTCAGACGGTGTGTGTAAAGGGTCAACAGCTGAATAACAACTGAAGGGATGATGTATAATCCAATTAAATGAGGCAGAGAGATAATTACTAAACATTAAAAATAAGGTGATGCTGGAGACAAACCAAATGACAGGGATAACATGAGATAACAAGGTGTAGAGCTGGATGAACACAGCAGGCCAAGCAGCATCAGAGGAGCAGGAAGGCTGACGTTTCAGGCCTAGACACTTCATCAGATAGGTTTAAGAGTCACTTTCCGAGGGTCTAACCAAAGTTCCAAGTAATTCAACACTGTACAAACTAATTAAGGTAGAGTGATCATAACATGTTATCAAGGTGATGGTGTTAAAACAGGACAGTGAGGAAGATTTTACGAATACTGAATGGTGTGGTGGGGGGTCACATGTAGTGCAGCATGATCCCAAGATCATGGTTGAGGAAGTCTCCATCAGTACAGAACTTGGCTGTCAGTTTCTGCTTGGCGATTCTGTATTGTGTATCTCGAAGACTGCCTTGGAGGGCACTTACCCAAAGATCGGAGGCTGAATATCCTTGAGCACTGAAGTGCTCCCCACTGACAAGTCAAGGGGAAACCAGGGACGGGCAAGAAATGCTGGCCTGCCAGCGATGCCCACATCCCACAAAAATGAAAAGAGAAATAAAAAAGTGGTATGGCCATGTGCTTCAGAGAGAGAGGGAGGAAATATGATGGAAGTGGGCCTGCCAAGAGGGAGAAGAAAAAGTACCTTTTCCACATGGAAGGATATAAAGTTATATTAAAAAAAACTGGCAACAAAAGCTGGTCCAAGACTGGGAATTCTGCAGGAGATGGGGGAGATACTAAAGGAGTATTTTGCATCAGTGTTTACTGTGGAGAAGGATATGGAATTAGAAAACTATGGGGAAATAAGTCACAACGTCTTAAAAAGTGTCCATTTTACAGAAGAGGAGGTGCTGGATGTCTTAAAACGCATAACGGTGAAGAAATGCCCAGGACCTGATCAGGTGTACCCCAGAACTCTGTGGGAAGCTGGGGAAATGATTGCTGGGCCCCTTGCTAAAATATTTATATCATTGATAGCCACAGGTAAGGTGCAGGAAGACTGGAAGTTGGCTAATGTTGGGCCACTATTTAAGAAAGGTGGTAAGGAAAAGCCAGGGAACTATAGACCAGT